CACAGACCGTAAAACACGCAACAAGCTATACAGAGTACTTGTCAGCGTAAGCAAGAGAGCAATTATTCGCAGTTTGCTACAACCAGTAAATATACAAAATCATTAAAATGAAATTTGAATTTTCATCACTTACAACACAATTTTGAAGAATGGTCAAGACCTCCGTCCTCTTGCCAGCGACGTGAGAAACAAGACAAGCATACCAAAGCTCAAGAAATATAATGTGAAAGACAAGAAGAAAGAGATACGTCATAAAACACAACAGCTCTTAGTACCTAACCACTATATAGACCAGCTCCAATATCCTGAGTACCATTTCAGTAAATGCAATCTCATTGGAAACACTGAAGAATCAAAAGAGACTGCTGACATTATGCTACTGCAACCGATGAAGACGAGTTCCCGCCATCACCAGTATTTGCTATTAAATCGAACCACAGACCTTCTTTTCCACTAAAATGACCATGCAGTAGATCTCCTTGTTGAGCTTTGTCCGGAAACTTTTTAAAATTTAATGTGATAGATGATGCACAAACAGTTAGCGTTGTAACTCTCTCCAACTCCATTAAAAAAAAGTTTTAAAAAAATTAAGCTAATAAAAAAATAAAATAAAACAGAAAAATATGATAAAAGAAGGAAGACAAACCTCTTATTCCCTGGATACCTCATAATCCACGTTTAAAAGAGTGGTATCAAAAAAAGAAAACAAAACACAAGTGACACGCCTGGACCATCTTAAACTTTTTGCCCAAAGAGTTACACGCTAACAAAATGTAAAAAATTTTTGCTACCTAAAGAGATAAAAAACACATACTTATTTCCCTTAAAAGTACTCCTCAAGATTGGTAATAACCTTCTGTAGTCCTATATTAAAGTAAAGAAAAAGAATATTACTAAGTAAATAATGCTAAATAGAAAAAAATATAAATATAATAGAAAATAAAACATGTCTTACAAGCAAACGAAAATAAACCTTTTGTTACGCGACTATCTCAGAACCCAACATTTCTCCAGAAATGTTACCCACAAAAGAGAACAAAACGGAAATAATATATAGTTGGACTCTCTTTAACTTTTTGCCTAAAGATCTTCATAATAACAAAGAAAGAAAATTTTAATTAATTAAAGACAAAAGATAATATTGAATACGTGTTTATTTACCTTATTTTTGACGTTTGAAATCTACAACAAATAAACAAAAGTGAGCATATCAATTTATATACGGTCGACTCTTTTACCTTGTAATTCAAATCAGAAGAGAACCAATAGCAATTAAATGTAATATATGCACCACTTGGCATGGAACAACGGATATCAAAACTTCAAATTAGAAAAAAAAAAAAACGCGACAAAATCAAGAAGACATACATAAAAAGAGAACAATTTTGTTGTCCTCTGCACAATATTGAAAACAGCCTCAAGCATTGCCATGTTAATGTACACAGAGACATAGTGCTAAACTTTTTGCATTTATGGTCATTTCAACTCA